CAGATTCAGTAGATATTGAGGAATATTTTAACCCTATTAGTATTTGGATATTTAGCTACAATGCTCTTAGATCCTTCTAAAAACACATTAAATGGATATTGGAGAGTGGAGAGGCAAGAAAAAGAGAAATGAAAAAGAGAGAAACAACAACAAAAAGAGAAAAAAAAGTAAAAAAAAAATTGTAATTACTGTTTTCCTTTTTTTTTTAAAAAATCACAAAATAGAAAACCTAGTTCACAGGAGCCATGTGGAACCTCCTTCTGAAGGCCTGGCTTCTTCTGCCTGGGTGGAGGACCAGAGCGATAATTAACAAGATAAAAGGTGGAGCTGGGAGCAAGAGAAAAACTTTGCCTTTAAAAAAAAAATGTAAAAAGGAAAAATTACAAATAAAAGAAGGGAAGACAAGCAGGGACAGACAGATACAGAGACACAGAAATATAGAAAGCTGGGGGGCTCCCTATCGCTAGCTTGTTTGCTGGAGGCTCAATTATCAGTAGAATGTCTTCATTTCTCTTGTGCCCTGCAATGCCTAGTTCACAGGAGCCATGTAGAACCTCCTTTTCTACTGGGATACTTTACATATTGTATGAATTTTTCACTTAATCTGTTTTCTCACTTTTTATTTTATTTTTTAGGATTTTGCCATAGGGTGTGCACATACTATAGAGAGACAGAGAGAAGGAAAATGAGAAATCACTCCCTCATGGGGGATGGCCATGCTGCAATCCATTCTCCGTTCTCCTCTCAGGATTTTGGGAATGCACGCACGTGCATCCAGCATGATTTCAAGCCATTGGGTCTAGTACTCAAACCACATCACCCGCATGGGAAGCCAGCACTTTAACCACCACGCCACCTGCTGACCCCAGTTTTCCCATATTTTAGAAGGAAAAAAGACGTGGTTTTACTTCGTAGGAGTCTATTAAGTTTTCTTTCAGAAATTTGGCTTAATAATAGTTTCTGTGGCATAATGGTTAAGGCATTAGACTCCCACATGGCCAGCTATACTTTGAATCCCAGATCTGGTGGCTTCCTTTCTCACTTTCCTTCTCTCTCTGGTCAAATTTTAAAAATAATAATAGTAAATAAAATTTAATGAAATAATTCTTTAAAAAAGTAAAGAATAGTTGGTTGTGTGTGTGTGTGTGTGTGTGTGTGTGTTTTTAATTTGCTTACCTTGAGACAGAAAAAGACAGGGTGGGAGAGAGTGAGACATCACCTCGCAGGAGGGTTGGCCACTCTGCAATCCTTTCTCTTCCGTTCTCCTCTCAGGATTTTGGGCACACATGTACACAACCCCACACAAGCTGCTGGGCCTGGTACTCAAACTATGCAATCAGCTTTGTGGAATCTGGCTGCCTTAACTACAACCACTCTACCACCACTGGCCGTATAATTTTTTCAATAGTTGTCTTACCATAATCTTCAGGGACTTTTGTTTAAAAGACTAGTAACTAGTTTCTGTGTAATTCACATTCAGCAGAAGTAATGTGAGTCTTCCCAAGTCTATTTAATAGACATCCTGGATGATTCATAGGCTTCGATCAAAAAAAAAAAAACACACACACACACACACATTTACAGCTGTGAAGGAAAGGTGCAAGGATGAACAGTCTTAAGTTTTTTTAACATTTGCAGTAAGTTTTACTTTTTACAGAAATTAGTGGGTGATTTTTAAAAATACTGTAAGCATTATTTTTGCTTTGTGATATCCACATAATTAATTGACTTGCTAATGTGCTCCCTTTTGTCTCTCTCTTTTTAAAGCTGTTTGGTGTGTTTTGGGCCGCGTACAGTGCTGCTTCATTGTTAGTGGGTGAAGAATTCAAGACCAAAAAGCCTCTTCTGATTTATCCAATCTTTTTATTATACATTTATTTTTTGTCCTTATATACTGGGGTGTGATCTAAGTCATACATGATTAGGAAAAGACAATGTTACATTTGTATGTAGGTTGGGAATTCTTGCTGACAAGATTGGAGAAAATTGTTTCTAGTAAAATTTTACATGTTTCACATGTAAAGGCAGATTTAAGGTCTTTTTAAAACTGTGTTTTTTTGCATTTAAGCAATTGTAGTTTTTTGGGATTTTTTTGGTCAGAATTCTAAATTCTGTTTGATTCTTCATATTTCATTGAATAAAATATTAAAGCATTGTGTTTTTAAGATTGTGTCAATATTCACCTAAAAACCTGTGCCAAAAGCATCTGGATTGTTAATTATATTTCGCCTGAAGGGTAAATTTGACAACATTCTGTAGATCTAAAGTGCAATTTTTTTCCTTTAAAGAGTTTTCTCCTGCATTGCAGATTCTGTAGATAAATATTTATATTTATACATATATATTTATGAAATTCTTATTCAAGAAATATATTTCAGAATAGCCTAAAATTTAAGATACTAAATCTGATGCTTGAACTTTCTTTAATTTGGCCATTGATCTTTTTTATTTAAAAATTAAATTTGTTTTTTAAATTATATATAATTTTTTAAACCTCACATGTGCTTCAGTAAGAATTCTTAATATTAACTGCTAAAACTAATTTTAATATTTGGTGATATGGATTTGGTTTGTTTGGGTGTGCTTTAAAAACCATTTTTGAATGTGTAAACATCTGATTTAAAGTTTCTGTTTATCTTTCTGACCAAAGGTGCAAGAGGTATAACGGATGTGGCAGTCCTTGAAAGCATTAAGATGTAGAAAAACAGTGCTATTTATAGCATCAGTAAATATTTTTAAATGGTATTGCTAAATCAGAAAAGTTGTGGGAAAGAGACTTTGTGGCCCTGAAAAATGTTATATGAAGTAGAAAAAAATAAAATGCTTCCCAGCCGTGTGTTTTGTTTTATAATATCTTGTCCTGTATTGCTTGATATTTTAACAGGTATCAGGTACTCCAACAAATATAAAAGTTTTGCTAAGGGAAATATTAAGAGACTTTTATTAGTGAAATTTTTGTTGCAAATACTTTTATACTAGAACTCTAGATATACCTTTAATTAATACTTCTTTGTAAAGTAGAGAAAAATGTTTTGTGTTCATAAACCAGTAAATGTCTGTCTATTAACAAATTATTATATTATCCTTTCTGGTCTGACTTGGAAGAATTAACTGCTGTCCTCAATCTATGATAACATGACCACGTCTTGGTAGGTATTACTTTAGCAGACTAACCCGTCAGGAAACACCCAGCACATCTGAAACAAGTCTACAAATCACCAAGATAGCACACCCCGTCTCTTCCTTTCCCCACAAAACCCTGCCCAAAAAAGGAAAGAAAAACTTATTGTAAGCTTCAGGGTAAGTGTGGAGCACCTTTAAGCTAAAGTAATGTAGAAAATTAAATATAATGATTTTTTTAAACAACCTTCAAAACACCAGCTAGAATTTCTCCAACATAAAATAATGTGAAATAGTAAGGAAATTAGATCTATGGCTATAGAAACAAGAACTGTAAAATAAACATTTGTCATACTTCAGAAATTCCTGGGGTTGATACTTTGTTAAAAATGGGGACCAGCAGTTGATGTAATGGCTGTGTCGCTGGATTCCCATGTAGTGGACTGCAGTTCAAATCCCAGATCCGGTGGCTTAAACTCACACCGGGCTCGTGTGCATGCGTGCCCAAGATCCTGAGAGGAGAATGGAGGAGAAGGGATTGTGGCATGGCCATCCCCCCTGGGAGGTGATTTCTTGCTTTCTATCTCTATCTCTTTCTGTCGTTCTGGCAAGCGCACATGCCCTATAGCAAAACCTCTAAAAAAAATATATATTATGAGGGACTGACAGGTGGTGTGGTGGTTAAGGGTGCTGGATTCCCACCTGGCAAACCACGGTTTGAGCACCAGACCTGGCGACTTACTTTCTTACTGGCTCCCTCCTGCTCTGTCTCTCTCTGGCCAAATTTATTTAAAAAGTAATAAGTAAAAAAATAAAGTTAAAAATGATTCTTAAAAATATATATTATGATAGGGCCAGCAGGTGGCATGGTAGTTAAGGTGCTAGATTCCCACATGGCCTACTGCAGTTCCAGTCCTGGACCTAGCAGCACATGGACATGGAGTTCATACACATTTGTGCCCAAAATCCCGAGAAGAGGGTGGAGGAGAAATGATTTGAGTGTAATTCTCAGCCATCTCCCTGGGTAGGGATTTCTCACTTTCTCTCTCTCTGTCTCTGTCTTTCTCCAGCAAGTGGACACACCCAGTGACAAAAAAAACTAAAAAACATGCATAGTGTTGACCTTGGGTTTATCCCCCCAAAAGCTTGGGAGTCAAGAACAGGAGGTGAAATTTTACTAAGCTGGTTCCTTAATAAATTAAGGCAGTTTAGGACCACCCCTGTGGGAAAAATATACTTATTTTTAAAGAATTATTTATTCAATTTTTATTGTTATTTTTTAATTTGACCAGAGAGAGAGAGGGAAAGTGAGAAAGCAGATCACCAGGTCTGGGACTCAAACTGCATTTAGCCATACGGAATCCAGTGCCTTAAGCACCATGCCACCTGCCAGCTCCAGTGGTTTAATTTTTTAAAACTATAACTTTTGAAGTGTCAATGAAAATTTCCATTATCTGAATTCCTTATTCCTAATGATTTAAGAAAAAAGGAGGTATTTGTGTTCTAAACAAGGTATTTAAAATAATAGCACTTAATCTTGAAAACCGCCTTATTTAGGGAATATATAAGAACATTTATGTTTCAACCAATGTCATCTTCATGTGCTGGTTAATGATCAAAGTTGATAAAACAGATTGTGTTTAGAGATATGATTTGTAGCTATGTACAAGATAATACCACTACAACTAATAATGGTTAAGATGACCCTGACAATGTACTTTCTTTACATTTTTATATAATTATGTTTTCTAAGTCATACTGATTTTAAATAATAGTTTCCACTCTAATTATTAATTAATATTTTTTAAACAGTACTAGCCAGATACTTCTATAATGATCCCTCAGTATGTGTAGGAGATCGTTTCCAATACCCCAGTGGATACCCAAACCTGCCAAATCCCCTGTATAAAATGGCAGTAATATTTGCATAAGGTCTACACACATTCTCCCATATCCTTAAATCATCTTTCTATTACTTATAATACCAAACCCAACGTAAATGCCATGTAAATAGTCATTATACCATGTTGTTTAGGAAATTAAGGAGAAGAAAACAGTACATGTTCATCATAACCACAACTGATTTTTTCCTGGATATTTTCCGTCTGCAATTGGTTGGTGCTGTGGTTATGGAACCTGTGGATAAAGAGGGTCAGCAGTATGTCTTTTGTCTCTCCTATTCATGTGCGTGTGGTAGTGTTTTTAGTTGTAGTAATCTTGATGAATAGTAATTCTCCAGAGAATTATGAGATCTGTTTGCTTGTGTTTCAAATTGATTGTAAGATTATTGAAATTTTGATTTAAAATCTGTCTATATATAATTAAATATTGGGTATTAATAGTTTAGGGAGAAATGTAAAATTTTAGGAACCATTTTAAAACCTATTATTTCTAAGGTCTGTAAAACAGTTTTATATATAATTATGTATCCATTTCCAAAAATTCTCCAATATTAAAAGTTTATTGTCAAATTCTAAATGATTGAAAATTCATCTTAAAATATGAAGTAGATTTTTTGTTTAAATATTGTTTAAACTTTAATTACTTATTTAAAAATTTTTGATGTATTAAAATATTGAATAAAATGTTTCTGCAATCTAATAAAAACAATATTTTTTATATTCAGCAAAATTAATTGAATATTTAAAAATGATTGTTACTGATTTTTCAAATTTATTAAGTATACATTTTAGCCAGTTTTAGGGATTGGTGGCACATGTTTTTTTTAAAGAATTATTTATTTAATTCCATTTATTATTATTTTTTAATTTGACTGGAGAGAGACAGAGAGAGAAAGAAAGAAAAAGAGAGGAAGCAAGCCATCAAATCTTGGACTATACACCCATGGTTGGCTATGAGGGAATCCAGCAGCTTAAACCACCACACCCACACCACCTGGCAGCCCTGGTAGCATTTGTCTTTAAAATAATTTACTTCCTGGGGGCCACCAGGTAACATGGTGGTTGAGGCTGACCGCAGTTTGGGCCCCAGACCTGGTGGTTTGGTTTCTCACTCTCCCTCTCTCTCTAGTGAAATTAAAAAGTGGTAATAATAATGGATTTTTCTCTCTCTGTCTCTCTCTGTCTCTGGCAAACACACGTGCCCTATGCAAAAACCTCTCCAAAAAAAGAGAAAAAAGTCACCCTCAGCAATTCTCTGCACTGATAGTTCTATTATGTAAATAAAGTAATACTGTTTTATTTATCCTCTTACATAAGTGATTTTTTTTTTCAGGTTTTTGCCATAGGCCGTGTGCAGTCACCAGAGAAAGAGATAGGGAAGGTAAGAACTTACTCCCCAGGGGGATGGCCATGTTGCAGTCCCTTTCCATTCTCCTCTCAGGATTTTAGGCAGTATAGGGTTTTAATGTTTTAATATTGAAGAGTGTGGATCAGCAGGTTGTGTGGTAGTTATTGTGCTGGATCCCATATGCTGACTTTACAGTTTGATTCTTCAACTTGGCAGCCTGAAAGACACAGTTGATTGTGCATGTGTGCCCAAAAACCTTAGAGGAGAATGGAGAAATGATTGCACTATGACCATCCCCTCTGGGAGTGATTTCTCATTTTACCTCCCTCCCTTGTCTCTGGCAAGTGAATACATCCTCTGACCAGGAAAAAAAAAAATTGGAGAATGTATAAAATTAAAAAAAAAAGAAAGCTATTTGACACTATTATCTGTCAATATTAAACATACACATACCCTATCACCAAGCAGTGCAGGAATTGCAGCATGGCTATCCACTCTGGGGGTGATTTCTCACTTTCCCCCTTTTGTTTTTAAGAATTTTTTGGAGCCAGCAAATGACTTGATGGTTAGGGGTGCTGGACTACCACATGACCAACCATGGTTTGAGTCCTGGACCTGGTGGCTTGCTTTCTCACTTTCCCTTTCTCTCTTGTTCTCACTCTCATGCTCTGTCCTTCTCTGGTCAAATTTAATTAAATAAATAAATAAATAAATAAATGAAGTTAAATTAAAACAAATTTTTTTTATTGGACTGCCACATGGTTGGCAAAAGTTCAAATCCTGGACCTGGTGGCTTGCTTTCTCGCTTTCAATTTCCGTCTCTCTGGTCAAATTTTAAAATAATAAGAATAACAAATGAAATAAAATTAAAAATTCTTTATTTAAAATGTATTATTTATTGGGGCCAGCAAGTGGCATGGTGGTTAAGGGCACTGGACTTCCACATGGCCAACTGCGGTTCAAGTCCTGGATCTGGTGGCTTGTTTTCTCACTTCTCTTTCTCTTTCTCACTCTGTCCTCTGGTCAAATTTAAATTAATTAAAAATGTTAAAAATAGGGACCAGCTATTGGTGTAATGGCTATGTCTCTGGACTCCCATGTAGTCGACCGCGGTTCACGTCCCGGACCTGGTGGCTTAAAACTCACGCTGGGCGTGTGTGCGAGTGTGCCCAAGATCCCGAGAGGAGAATGGAGGAGAAGGGATTGTGGCGTGGCGATCTTCCCTAGGGGGTGATTTCTCGCTTTCTGTCTCTCTGTCTGTCTCTGTCTGGCAAGCGCATGCACCCTATGGCAAAAGCCTCTCCAAAAAAAAAAAGAGTTAAAAATAATAAAAATAATTCTCTTTAAAAATTTATTTTTTAAAATTTGACCCAGGGGTGGGGGGGGGAGTGAGAAAGCAAGCAACCAGGTCCAAGATTTGAACTGTAGACAGCCATGTGGGAGTTGAATGCCTTAACCACCACATCACCTGCTGGCAGCCCC